GCAGAAAAGTAGGCGCGGCAGAAAGGACATGTGACAGGTGATCCTATCTCTGGCAATTAATGAGGTGTTATTTGAAAAATAAGCGGGAAATCCATCAGATGGTCGATAGCGGACACCATTCTATCCAGGAGGTCGATAGGCACAAACTCACTCTTAGATCGAGTCATTCAGACTCGACCAGAGTGGGGGGACTAGATGATATAGGATATTATACCCACAAGGCTGAACCGTTTTATTGACCGATCGAGGAGGTCGTATTATGAGGAAGTCAAGGAAATCGAGCAGTTAACTAGTCGGCCAAGCAAAGCTATCGACCAAACTATCCTTCGACCAGATGAGTGATCGAGCAATTCAGTCGGCCTCGATTGGTCGACCACTCCGAGGACTTAACACCACGTTGATCTGCCTAGTCACAGGCGCATGAGAGAGCCTCTAACTGAATTCTAAGAGAATATTTACCCCATGTGCAGGGGGACACGTGTCGAGAAGGCAGTGGTTGATAGCGATAACCACCTCTGACAGCCTACCCCATGTGCAGGAGGACACGCGTCCAAAGTGGATTGGTGCAGGCGATAGTGGCGACGACTACCTCTGACACACGCGTATGGTGTGTACGGACGGGAAGTTAGGGCAGACAGCTCATCAAATCCGGGCAGTCCTTGGTCAGGTATCTCACCCATATTTAAAGGGGGTGAGCCTTTCTTCTTCAATAGGATCATTCTATTGCTTACTCTAGAGAATTGATTGAACATACACTGACTTAAGCTTCGGAGGCTCTTCACCGGAAAACTCCTCCGGTGTGAGAGTTCTTTGTAGGTGCACGACGTTCAACCGGCGAGAAGGAAGGCGATTATTCAAGTTCCAGCCGGTCGAGAAGTTTTGTGTTACCAAATATAATATAACAAATTATAATATAATATACTTATATAATATAATATAACAAATTACAATATAATATACTATACTTATATAATATAAAATACGTATATAATATAATATAACATTTTATAATATAATATACATATATAATATAACAAATTATAATATAATATAATATACTTATATATAATATATTTCGGTGGTTTTTTTTAATTTATTATAAATTTCATAAGTAATAAAATGACACATTTCGTTTTTGAGGAATGTACCTGATTTCAGTTAATTGAGACTCGATCTCCTTATCAATCTTATGCCACACTGTATCGAGCGCGCCGGTCGACGTGTGAAGCCACTTCTTCAACACAAAGTAGGCACTTTCCACCCTACAGGTAGTTGTGTTGCCAAAATGTGTTACTTGGTTCGTCCAGGCTTTCACAAACTTCTCCTTGTGGACTAGCCACGTCTGCTCGAGATATTGTACCACTTGTGAGTTATTCCCGTATTTTGCATTCAATTGAGCTATGGCAGCGTCGTACTCATCCAACGTACTGGCATCCATAATCGACTTCCACTGACCGCGCAAGAACCTCTCAGATAATTTTTTATTTTTCCCAAACAAGTTGTACACTTTGTTTTCCACATCCTTGTTGATGTGCCACGTGCAGAGTAAGTGGGCAGATTGGGGAAAATGCCTCCTAATAGGAGTCATTAAGCCCAACTCTCTGTCACTGACAACCGCATTAGGATGCACCTAAGCAGCGACAAAAATTAGTGAGACACGCCAAAAAAAGCTCAAAATTTTTACCATATTGCACAAAGTACTTTTATTACTAATTAAATTAATCGTGTACTTCATATAAATCCTTACCGTATAACCTATCAGAAGTCTCAACTTGTCGAGAACCCAATCATAACTGGCATCTTTCTCATCCTTCATGAGGGCATACGCAATTAGAAAGTTATTGTTGCACGACGTCATGCCAATCATCTCGACCAACGGCATCTTGTACCTGTGAAAATGAGATCAAAAGACCTAAATTATAATCACATAAAATTTAATCCAAAATACAAATTTAAATTAATACTAATAACATATTTGTAAATTTAAAATACCTGTTGGTTTTGTACGTCGAATCTATGCCGACAAACCAGTAATATGTCCGGAATAGACTCACTGAATCAGGATGGGCCATGAATATGTGTGTCAGCGCATTTGTATTCGGATCGACATTTGTATAAACTATATACTTGCTGCTGCTAGCCAAATGTAGAAGTTGGGTAGGAACGTCCCTACCCTCAAAACTTTCCTTACGCAACCAGTCTCTATGGTTATATATATGTCGTCGATTAGCATGGTCGTGTGGATTTTTTTCCTGGACGGCGGCCAAAATATTTGCTGGTGTCGCATGCGCAACAGTCATATCACGAATAATATTTTTTGATGACTGGCTGATGCCGCTCGACTGTCGATGGCCCTCAGGATACACAACAAATGAATGATTAATGGTATCCCTTCTTTTCGTCTTGACTTGTGTGGATCATCCAGTATGTCGATCTGGCAACACGCTTTACTTGTATCTCAAAAGGGCACTGGCACGCTTTCGTTTTTGAATGTCTAGAAACAGCTTTATTCATATCTACGTTTTTGCCTCTATAACGTTCGCCTAGGTTGCACTTCAAGATCTTCAGCCTTCCGGGTTTTTTGTGTTTCGAAATACTCAAATAGAAACCATTCAGAATTGTCGTACTTTTTGCATCATTAATAGCCTCCTCATCACTAATAAACAGCGTAGTTGTATTGAAAGCGAAACAGTAATCAATACCATCTCCTCCAAAGTCTTCTAAAGACATCTGCAATGTATTTAACAATTTTAAAGCATTTAAAAATAATAAAAAAATAATGTCCGGTCGGTTGGACCGGCCGGACCGGGTTTCAACCGGCCGTCGCCGCCGGACACCAACGGCCCGTCTGTTAGTACAAAGACCGGTCCGTACGGCCTGCTTTAACGTACGAACATGGTGTGTCCGGTCGAACCGACCGGACGCCTTTGAGGTCGTCCGGTTCGGTCGGTCGGACACCGCCGGTCGCGTGCTACTTTTAAGGCCGGACGAATTTTTTTTTACCTCTGAGCTACTGGAGATATTGCTGGAGACAACAAATGAGAAGGACAAAATCGTCCAAGGGGGCGGTGACTAGTAATAAGGGGGCGGTAAATAGTAACGCCCAAAAAAAAAGAAGGAAACAAATATGATTATTATGCAAATAAAGATTTGAGTTTTGGTATGTTTGCTAATAATGTTATAGGGGTAGTAGATATGCAATAAAAATACTAGGAGATCGTTAGTGGCATAACTATCTCTTAATTAAGGTAATTATTACAAGTTGGGTTGTACTTATGAATATACTTTGAATTAATTTTAACTTTTTTAACCTGGGCTAAAATATAAAAAAAAAGACTAAAAATTATATACAAACAATATACGGGTGTATAAGCTCACTCATAGCTCACTTGGGCTACAGCCCAGGCCAAAGTGCATGTTCCTCCGCCGTTGGGTTTAAAGTGCAT